CTTCATCAGTGATTGTTATGTTGTCGTTTTTTCATCGTTCTTTGAGGCCAAAGTTGTTAAATACTTGAGCAGCCCAGATAATGCTGTCTGACCAGTAGAAATGTTACTTGACATTGATAGTGGGCGACGTTTACCGCGAGCAGGCCTGCTTCACAGGGTATTTCCAGGAGTTTTTTGGTCTGTAACGCGTGTAGTCGGTTTTCAGGCATTAAACGTTTCTGACCATTCTTTTCCTCTTTCGTTTTATCAAACTGAGCCAGGCGCCGGTCATCTGATATTTTTCTCAGATCGGTGGGCTTCAGTACCTGCTGGATCCTGACCCGGTATTACCATAACATTTTGAGGATGCTGCGCCTGCGAAACTCATGACGCTTCAGCACGGCAGATGTTTAAAGGTTGTATCTCAGTACAGTGAATACGACTGAATTAAGGATCATAGTATCAGATCTTATATTTCTAGCTTTCCATATGCCAACAGCTTGCCAAAATTCGCTGAGGCCAGTGACTACGCCGGTTCACTTCAGAATCAAGATCTTCATCGTTAGCCAACACAGTTTCGAGGTACATGAAATGGTCCATATGCCTCTTTTGTCGTATCTTCCGGTTCACCACTGAAGCGAGCGCTCATAATCTCGGAGATCGTCGCTGACTCTCTATTTGTCAGATTTCCTCCTTATTTCACAGTTAATCAGCTTATCAGAAGGTGTTATTACTATGCACGATGTTCGGGCGTGTTCGATGGCACTGGCAAATATGCGAAAGGATTCTTCGTAGTTACCTCATGATAATACTCGTATTCTGTGTTAATTTCAACACCAGATTGCCTATGTGACAGCATTGAGCCACCGGTCAGTTTGTAGCTTCTGAATAAGATTGAAAGTATGTCTGTTCAATCATCATGACCGTTTTTAACGTCAGCCTGCTTTCTTTGTTCGAGTCAATGGCGGCATCGCTTTTTGGACTCCGTTACGGCACTCTTCGACTAAACTGTTTTTGCTGCTTTGGATATTCTTTAAAATTCATCTACACTGATCGATAATGAATGGTAGGATTTTCAGTATGAGTCAACGTTGACTGTCTTCTTAGCTGCTTCCCAATTCTGTGGTAACGGATTCAACAGATAAGTCGTACTACTCAATAGTTGTCTACGTTATAGAACTTTCATAGTTGAAATACTACAGGAATATAGTACAG